TTTTAGATCTTAACCGTTGATTTCTGTCTATCAACGGTTATAATCTATTGGGTCAAACTTAATGGGCCAAATTTATTATTAATTAATTAATAATTTTAATCCAATAAATTATAACCGTTGATGGACGGAAATCAACGATTAAGATCTAAAATGATATAATTTTATATCCTTTAAAAGGATAGATGTTATTCCCATATTTAAATGTTACATTATCGCAATAGTGCTTGCAAAAGGATGATAAATTTGAATATTACATTCTCTTTCAATTTTTTTATTTGGTTCAGTTGGACAATGCATTTCTCTTATCTTTCTTGCCCCTGTTAGATACTGAAGGTAGATATTAATTTCGTTGTGTTTGCCGTGTGGTATTTTTGACTCCAAATATTAATAATGTTTTTGAAACCATGCTGGCATGGCATCAGGGCGTTTTTATTTTATGGTCAGAACAGTATTGATCATCATCTTCTACCGCCGAGTCAAAAGCAATTGTTAATCATAAACTTTGTAATACATATATATTACTTAGGGAAATGTAGTTCTGATGCAAAAGAAATCTTCTTCTATGATTATAATTATATAATTTGGGTAGTATATAATTATAATATTAATTTTTTTTCATTTTTTAGAATTTGTCTATTGACGTAAAGATAGAATTTTTTTTTCATATTATAATTATGTATTACTCGGAGTACATAGTTATAATTAATTGCAGAAGATATTTTTTTCAGTAACATAAAATGTTGGGAACCCATTAATTATTTTTTTACGTGCATATTTAGTCTTTGTGTCATATATCTACATGAGTAGAGTTATATTGACAATTTTTTTTTACAAACTTACAAATTATACTATATCTGACCGGTAATACTTTACTCAAGATTGTCTTACTGGTCAGACATAGTATAATTTGAAAGAGTTTGTAAACATAAAGTTTGTAAATATAATCTTCCTCTATCTACATATACGCTTTCTTTTCTTTTCTTGCGTGTTATATTTTTTTAATTAAAGGTATTTTTAATATTTATTTTATTTATAATTTGATGTTTAATTTATTAAAGATATTTTTAAAAAATTTTATAATAAGAATATTTTTGCTATTCAAGTGGTTAACTGATACATATTATAAGCACACGACTCAAAATGACAAATGTTGTAGTTAATGTTATTAAACTTGTACCGTGATTGACTGGATCAAGTAATTCGATTAATAGGCTGTCGCTGGTTAAACTAGTTGGACTGAATTTATACGTTAATATATAACAAATATAATAATAAATAGAGGAAGATTATACTTTCAATCTATTTTTGTTGTTTACAATCTTTTACAACTAATATCTTAACTGTTAATTTTCGTCAATCAACAGTTATCATTTATTGCAAATTAAATATTAATTAATGAGTTTGATTTGCAAAAATAATAACCGTTGATTGACGAAAATCAACGGTTAAAATATTGGTCGTAAAAGATTATAACCAAAAATAAGTTATAAATATAATATTTCCTACAGATATATAACGATAAGAAAATTACTTACTTAGTAGTTCAACTTACATCTACCCATTTCAAAATTTAAATGGTATAAGGTTTGAATATATTTTGGTTTGAAATTTTCCCTTATAAATATTACAAATTTCTTTAATTATACATATTGATCATCAAATAATTAACAACATAAAAAACTATCTAATAAGTCAGAATGAATTCTTTTTGTATTGATTCTCCGTCCACATAAAATTCATAGATAATAGTTTCTAAAAGAAAATATAAAAAAGTGAAGATTCGAAGAAATGGTGGGCGAGTTGCGGTATCTAAATTGTATTGTTGAAAGTCTCTAAGAAAAGGAACTTTCTTTCATTATCGGATCCAATTCACATTCCAACTATCAAAAGCGTCACGGTACGTGGCCCTTTTCCAATCCTCTTCAATCAAATAATAATTTTAAAATATCCACCAAAGTCTCTGTTTTCTTTTTTTATCATTATTTAAATATTATTTTTTGCATTTTATTACCTTTTTAAACAAATTTGGGTGGCTGTGAAGGACTTACAATGTAAACGCTTAAGATAAGTTAAACAAAACAAAAAATTAGTGAGAATTTATAAGGGAAATGAAACTTGGCTGTTGGCGCCTCCAAATTGTATAGCTAAACTCCTTTTATTTTTGTTTTATTTCATTTTTCTTTTTGCTATAAGGAATTAATGTTTTTTTTAATAGAAATAGGAATTGAATATATAAACTAATATAACTTATCAAATTCATCACCACTAGACCTCTTAGGGTTTAATGTTTTTTATATTATAGATGATAATTTTATTTTCTACACACATAAAAATATGTGAAGTCCATGTGAGATCATGTAAAGAGAAAAGAGAAAAAAATGGACCATATGTATTTTTATGTATATATAGAAAGGGTAAAGCATTTTTTCAATCAATGGAGATAAGTTATCTTTGATGAGAACAAAATGACGTCATTTTTGTAACGAAATCAAAGTATTTTTGTAATTCTAATTTATTGTATAGTTATGTTAGTCTTTATTATTATAATTTTCTAATCTTACAACCCAAAAACGACATCATTTTAGGTTCACTGAAGATGACTTTATCTTCGGTGACTGAAAAAATATTTTTCCGATTGACAAAAAAAAATTATCTCCTTTAATATAAAGGATATTAGTCCTTGTTATTATTTTATTTTGTTCGTAACTTTAATAGAATAATAATAATAATAATAAGAATTAAACGCGGTATAATAATGACAGTTGGTGAAACCTTAAGTCTCCGCCGCCGCCTCTAGGTCGTTAGTCAAAGATACTTTTTATTTTATTAAACTTGTTTTTAGAAATATTATATTTACAGATATATTCGCATACGAACTCTTACGATAAAATTTTAATCGTTGATTTCTGTTAATTTAATGACTATAATTATTAAGTCATACATATTAATTTTTAATAAATTATAATTGTTTGATAGACAAAAATTAACAATTAAGATTTGATTGTAAAAATTTGTAAGCAAAATTTTTATGAAATAACATCTCTCTTAATATATAATAAAAAAATGTATCATTTAAAAATATTATTTTATGTTATTTTAAATAAAATAGTAATTGTGTTTTGATATATATTTATGGCTTTAATATTTCTAAAGTGAAAGTAGATAAGTTATCCACATTCGCTCTCAAAGTGACGTCGTTTTGAGTTTAAAAATTAAAAAATTATAATAAAAAATTATTAAAACCCTGAAATAAATTATAATTACAAAAATATTTTGATTTCTGTCTCAAAACGACGTCGTTTTGAGCTCAATATAAATAAGTTATCTACATTGATGGTAGAAAAAGCAAACCCTATATTTAGTGATATTTTATCTTCCTCTCCTTCTTAATATATAATAGATAAATAAATATGAGAAAGATATATATCATTTTAAAAAATACAATTTTATGTCATTTTAAATAAAATAATTATATTTTGGTGCATTTTATATTTTCTATGCTTTAGGAGAGAGAATTTAAAATATCAACAAAATTGTTTAATTTAAATCGATACAAATTTATATTCTTTAAGATTGACAAACATTTTTTGAAAAAATATATATCAAAATAAATATGAGATTAGAAGAATATAAAATTATATTATTTTAATCTAAATTATAGTATTTTGTGATAAGAAAAACAATTATAAAATAAAAATCATGGTTCTTTTTTTCTGCAATTAAGGTAGATAAGTTATCTACATTGAGACTAAAACGACGTCATTTTGCGACTCGAAATCAAAATATTTTTGTAATTATAATTTATTTCAGGGTTATGTCAGTCTTTTTCATTATAATTTTTAATATTTCAACTCAAAGCGATGTCGTTTTGGAAGTGAATGTAAATATCTTATCTACGTTCACGGTAGAAACATTAAAGCCAAAAATCATAATAAAAAAATAACTTTTTTTAATTTAAATATTAAATAAAAAACCGTCGTTTTACTTTTAATTTTAACTAATATAATTATCTTCCCTAATAAACATATATCAAAATGCAGTATTCCATTTAAATGGCATAAAATTATCTACTTTAAAATGGAAAAGCGCTTTTTCCCTCGTATTATATATATATTTTTGGTCTGTTACCAGGACAGGTATTTTAGGAAAAAATTTTGGTTTGCGTAGATTCATTTTCGGGAAAAAAACGCGACCCAGATTGTAGTGTACTTGTTCTCCTTACGTTTTGTTTGTTTTGTTTTGCTTTGTTGTGTACAGACTCTCACAGAAGAAGAAGTAAGAACAAGGTACGCTACCTTGTCAGCGTTTAGAATTTCCATGTTCAATTAATTTCATGGTCATTACAAAAAACTAAATGTGGGGTGTGGGGGGGTATCTTAAGTTTCTAACGTTGTTGCCAAACCCGTTCTCTTGTTGGGAAATATATGAATCTATATGCTAATTTTTTTATTCTAACGGTTGTGTTGTGTGTGCTTTTGTTGGTGGCTAACTATACTATGTTTTTTTTTTTGTTTTTTATTTTTGTTCTGGCTTGTTCAACTGCATCCAACCCGTTTCTTTAAGTTTTTGAAAAACTTGTTCATTGTTGTATTCTGTTTCTTAAAACTTAGTAGTACTTAGCAATCTGGGTAAGGGGAAGAATTGGATTTTCTTATCTGTTGGATGTTTCCTATAATATTTCTTCTTCTTCTTCGACCTCCACCACCTGGGGAGGTGAAAAGAGAGGATTTTTAGTTTGTTTTTGTATTAATTTTCTTGTATTTTACATGAATTTTGACCCCCATTTATTGAATAAAAGTTTGCACATGATAATGTTACAATCCAATTGTAATGTATGGGACTTGAGTCTTACATTGGTTATATGGACGACTAATGTGAGGTTTATATGAACTTTGGGCTCTTCTGCCTCGTGAGATAGCTTTTGGGGTGAGGTTGTCCCAAGGTTCGTATCAGATAAGCTTCAAATTTGGTTCTGCATAGTTCATGGTTGTTATCAACTGTTTCCGGAATGGAGGGGCTATTGACATTGATTTAGAATTTCAGAGATCTTTGCCTTTTATGCTTTTGTTAATTTTTTAAATTACTTGTTTTTACCAAGTGTTTTTATTGCTTCATTTGATTCACATTTTCCTCTCTCAATGGAAGCTGTTCATCTTTGACTGATTGCTGCAGAAAATGCATAGAAGACCTAAAGTGAAGGCTTCTTTGCTTCATTGTTTGAAGTTTTTCTTTAAATTGAATCTCTTTCTGATTTTTGTACAGAGGCATTGAAATGGCAACTTGTATACCTGTTGGAAGTGGCACACTGCATTATACAGTGACAGACTGCAAGAGACAAAGCTGTAAAAGGACTGCTTGGGTTTCTGATGTGCCTATCAAGAGATACTTACATAAAGATCTTTCTTGGTAAAGATTTTGATTGAAGAATCATATTAATAGTTATTTCATATCTCACTGTCTGTTGTGATGTCTAAAAAGTAATTCATGTTCTGCTCATCTAAAGTTTTACTTGTTTGCGTAAGATCATATGATTTTTATTGCTGTTAAAACTCTTACATATGGTATTGTCAAGGTATGTTTAGAATATTTTGATCCCAGAATCATATTAGTAGTGATCTCATGTCTTGCTATGATAAAATGCCTAAAATGGAATACTTGTTCCTTTGCTAGAGTCTAGCTTTGTTTTCAATGAAACTTTACCAGTTTGCACAAGATTGTATGACTTTCATTTTGGCTAAATTTGATAAATCTGAAGCATATTCAGGTCTGGCTGTTTGTTTAGGGTTGACAAGTGACAATATTAATTTAGACCAAGTAGTCATCGTGGTTTGTAGCACTTTCACAGTGATGGTTCAAATTGTTTGAAGCAAGTCATTGTGAGGGCTGGCTAGAAATTTCTGTCAGTAAGGAAATAAGTTGTACTATCATACATTGATTGCCTATTTATATACTAAAGTGTGTTGAAGTAACTTCAGGAAACTTGATCAGAAAGACTGAATGGAAATGGATCATCATTTTCTGGTTCACTCTTAGCTAAATTAATGATTTTCAATTGTTTTGGGGTACAAAATTTTAGGTCTAAAGCGGTATCAAAGGTTCTGCAGACACACAGATGTGAATTTTCAGTACCATCACTTCATAAGAACGGGAAACACTTCAAAGTCATTTCCTCATGCAAGAAAGATGGTCCTACAAAATACTTTGACTTTGCCGTCATTGGGAGTGGAATTGCTGGCCTCCGCTATGCGCTTGAAGTTGCAAAATATGGATCTGTTGCGGTGATAACAAAGGCTGAGTCTCATGAATGCAACACTAATTATGCTCAAGGTGGTGTTAGTGCTGTGCTATGCCCTTCAGATTCTGTGGAGAGTCACATGAAGGACACCATTGTGGCTGGGGCTTATCTTTGTGATGAGGAAAGCGTCCGAGTATGTTCTAGACCTATTAAGCTTGTTTACCTTGTAACTAAATCATTGTTAGAACCTAATCTATGCCCTGGAACATTAGACTAAATACATCTGAATATGCCTTGGGCTGCATAAGAATTGGTCTTTTTAAGTTGTTTTTTGAACTGCATTCCCATTTTTCCAAATGTATATTTCCATTTTCTGACAGGGATGTTTTGTACTTGCAAAAGTAAGTAAACGGGGTATTTTCAATTTGAAATGCAATTCTTTTACTCCATTCCTTTTTGCTATTGCTAAGCACAAAACTCCAGTGAATCCTTAATTTATGGAACCAATCAGCATTCTGCTTTAATTCTCAGGAAATGATTATTTTGAACATGCAATAATTACCCATGTACCTTTAGGTGATATATAATTAATTACTAGTTTCTATGGCTAATGTATTGAGCATTTTATTAACTTAAAACTCTTTTTTCCAGGTTGTCTGTACTGAAGGACCTGACCGAGTGAGAGAACTAATTGCAATGGGCGCATCATTTGATCACGGGGAAGATGGTAACTTGCATTTAACGAGGGAGGGGGGTCATTCACATCATAGAATTGTTCATGCTGCTGATATGACTGGAAAAGAGATTGAGCGGGCTCTACTGAAGGCAGTGGTCAACAATCCTAATATTTTTGTGTTTGAACACCATTTTGCTATAGATCTTCTCACTTGTCAGGTTTGTTCTCTTTTGGCATATACTTAAGGTTTTGTAGCATATATAATGTTGCTAGCATAGAAGTGTCTCTGAAAGTTTAAATTTTGAAGTTTTCATGGATTCTGTTCTTTTGAAATTGCCATTATCCAAATTTGATTTCAGAGCATTTTGAATGTTTTGATGCATTCACTGACTAAAACATGTCACTGGTGTTGCAGAATGGATCTGATATAATTTGTCTTGGTGTTGACACACTGAATACTGAAAACCTAGAGGTGGGAAAAGTAATTATGTATATTTTTTGAGAAAGAAATCACTGCAATCAATAAATATATTTTCTGAAGTTTCATTTTTTTAGCTTTTAGGTGGTAAGATTTCTTTCAAAGGTGACTTTGCTTGCGTCAGGTGGAGCTGGACATATTTATCCTAAAACTACAAATCCTCTGGTAGTCCTCTTTTAATAGAGCTTGAATTCTCTTTTCCCATTTTGCTGCTTGGGTTATTTTTCTATTTTAAATATTTAATAAAATCATGATGAAAAATGAAATATTCTAGTATGAGTTTATAATGCAGTTTTATTACAGTATATGAACTCAATGATTATAATATAGTATTATCTTCAAGAAAAAAAAATGACTCATTATTATAGTTACTCACATATTCATAACGAATCATTAATTTACTTGGATGATACACTCTGTAAGTTTACTAAGGCAATGATTAAAGTATAAATAAAGATCAATGAGCAATGCTGTCTACATGAAGCTAAAAATGTTGGGCTATTAAGTGGTTTAATTTTCCCTTTGTAGTGCTGATAGCACTGAAATGAACCATCTCATTATGGTTACACAATACACACATAATACATTGACCTATTTATGTTGACTAACCTGCATGATATGGCTAGTCTTATTTGCTTGTTAATTTGACTTACTTTTGATAACATCAGGTAGCCACCGGAGATGGAATTGCCATGGCATACCGAGCTCGAGCTGTGATTTCCAACATGGAGTGAGTGGATTATTTCAGAAGTCTGAATATTTGCTGTTTAATGAATTTCTCATACAAGTCTCACTGAACAAATAGAAAATGCCACTGGTTAAGGATATATGTGACAAGTTAGCAGTATGTTTGATGATAAGAAAGATACACCGAGGGCTGACTGCAGCACCTCCAAATCCACCCGAAGTCACTCGATACATGCATACCTCGCTCCACAAATTCCCCCTCCTTTTATCCATCCTCTAATAATATTATGGAAGAATCCTCTAACTAACTCTCTTCCTTTTCGCGCTCCTTAACCACCCCCAATTTTGTTATTACATACTTCTGATGCTCATCATATAAGAACATGCATAATCAATTTAGTAGCATTCAAGTGCAGAATTATATGAACAGTTATTGCCTTTAATGCAGAAGATCAATTGCAGAATTGCATTAGACTTCTAATCCTCATGCAGGGCATCTTTCTGTAGCACTTAACAAACTTTTTTTAAAGCTTGGAAGTTAATATGTGATGAGCTATGTAGTATTCTATTATAAGCTGCATACTTCACCTCCGGTGTGTGTGATGGAGCTTAGTATATTGTATTTCGTTCTTGTTAGTAACTTTTTTTAAATCATGATTGGCCCAGGTTTGTTCAGTTCCATCCTACTGCCTTGGCTGATGAAGGGCTTCCTATTAAACCAGCCAAGCCTAGAGAAAATGCATTTCTGATATCTGAAGCTGTGAGGGGTGATGGGGGCATCCTCTATAATCTAAGCATGGAAAGGTTTATGCCATTGTATGATGAGAGGGCTGAGCTTGCTCCAAGGGATGTGGTGGCAAGAAGTATAGATGACCAACTTAAAAAGCGCGATGAGAAGTTTGTGCTCCTTGATATTAGTCACAAGCCTAGAAAGGAAATTCTCTCCCACTTCCCCAATATTGCTTCTGTGTGTCTCCAGTATGGTTTGGACATAACTCGTCATCCAATACCAGTTGTTCCAGCTACTCATTACATTTGTGGAGGAGTTCATGCTGGGCTCCAAGGAGAGACAAATGTAAAGGGTCTATATGTAGCTGGTGAGGTTGCATGCACAGGTTTGCATGGAGCAAACAGGCTTGCTAGCAACTCATTGCTTGAGGCACTGGTTTTTGCAAGAAGAGCTGTTCAGCCCTCGGTTGATCAAATGAAGAGCTCTAGCCTTGATCTGAATGCTTCAAATTTGTGGCCTAGACCAATTGTGCCTTTGTCACTTGGAAGTAATGTCATTGACAAAATTTCATCAATGACAAAGGAATTGAGGAAAGAACTACAATCTATCATGTGGTACTATGTAGGAATTGTTAGGTCCACAATGAGACTAGAGACTGCTGAGCAAAAAATTGGTAATCTAGAGGCTAAATGGGAAGAGTACTTATATCAGCATGGTTGGAAACAAACAATGGTGGGGCCTGAGACATGTGAAATGAGAAACCTCTTTTGTTGTGCAAAGCTGGTTATTAGCAGTGCACTTTCTAGGCATGAGAGCCGTGGACTACATTACACCATTGATTTTCCTCATCTTGAGGAAAGTGAGAGACTTCCAACAATCATTTTGCCAAGTTCACATTTAAACAGTACATGGAGTTCTCGACAATTACACAAGCAGCCCATGTACCATTAAGTCTTCAAGTTCTTCCATTACATAATAATACGGAACTCTGATTGAAATCTAGCAAAATCCATTGGCTAGAATCTAATATTCTTGATGTCTTCCCTCTTACCCTTATAGTTTTCTGATTCATTGTTTAAATATAACAAGAAATATGTTCACTCTAGGTAATTTTTGTCAATCTCCCCACAGCTGTAGCAGTTTCACGTTGTGATCAAATAATCTCAACATTTGAATACTTTTATTTTGGAACTTTTATGCTATCACCATTCTACTTATTGCATACCCTTGCTCGGCATTGGTTGCAGCAACTCTCTAATACCGTTTAGAAAGTGTACATAATGCTAAGAAAGTGGTTTGTGATTAAGAATTTTTTGACACCATCATCCAAACAATAGAACATAGGCAAATAATAATTGCACATACTGCATTAGGTATGTGTGTAATCAAAAATCTATATTAGAACCTAGAATGTTATTTAAAAACTTGTATGGTCATCCACAACCGGATTATTAACCAATTCGTGACATTTTGTACTCAAAATTTCATATTCTTAAATTGTGGTCAAAGCCAACGTTATCAAAAATTAGTGTAAAAACGTAGAAATGCAAAAACGCAGTGTAAAAATGTGTTAAAACGCAAGTAAAAACGCCGCGTAAAAACGGTAGAAATGTAAATTTCTACACTTAAACTCACTTTGAAAAAAATATAAAAAAATCCTATTTTCCATTTTTTTAAAACTTAATTTTCTGATTTTGTATTTTTTGACTTATGTCTTATATAGTTATGTGACTTATATCTTTTAAATATGAAGTTATTATTAAAATTTTAATAGTGACTTATGTAATTTTTTTTACATGCATATATATATATATATATATATATATATATATATATATATATATATATATATAATTTTGTATATTGACTTTAAGTAGTAAAAATTTTACGTTTCGTGTCGTTTTTACAATTTACATTTCTACAACCTCATCCTGTTTCTACTTATAAACTCGATTTTAAAAACATTGGTTACAACTATTAACATGTTAATAGCTCTTCAATCTTTTTTTTCTTTTTTTTTATATGTGCAGCTTTTGAAAACCTCCTTAAACATAAACATACTTTGTGGCTGTGGATTTAATAGAAGCACCACTCAATACTCATGTCTCATTTCATCACTGAACTGATGCACCGAATCTGTAAGCATTATTAATGGTTACTGTGTGACTATCACTGCCAATCATGGAACCTTATCCTTCACTCTTAAGTTGTGATTGTGAATTTCGTGATGCCTTATCATCATAGAAAGAAGAGGAACAATACACTACGCTTATATGATTAATCAAGGCTCTGATAATATAAAATACATGAATTAGTGATAGCAAATGAATGATTATAATTGAAGGATTTTATGATGTTTGCTCTAACTTCGGGCATGTTAATGTTATATAATCCACGTTGTCTAGCACAATTGTTTTCGAGTCTGAATTTGAGTTTGATAAAGAGAAATTTGAGTGTAACGTATTCCAATTATATAATACACTTCAAACACTTAGAAATGAAAAATCAGGAAGATTTTATTAATTTGATAATAATATAATGACAAAAAAGTAAGAAGAGTTATATAGATATATACTCCTAGAAAAATAAAAAGTGTAACTTATAATTCACGAATCTGTCTTAGTGCTATACATAATTCCTTTTTATAATATTCATAAAATGATTGCTTTTCCTAAAAAAAGAGAGAGAGTGAAGCCGAAGCTTACAAGTTCTCCTATGTTATTGGGTGTATATACTTTTTTTTAATTAATATTTGGGTTTAGTGTGTGTACTTTTAAAATGTAAGTTGTGTCATTTTAATTTTTTACTCTATGTGCTTCTAGTAGTTCATAGTTATAATATGAAAAATTATTTTTATTTCTTTCCACGTCAGCTGATGTGACTGAAGAGAGAGAAAAAAAAAAACTTTTTATGTTATAATTATGTATTACCGAGAGTACATGGAGTAAGAAGAATTATATATATCTATATAACTCTTCTTACTTTTTTGTCATTATATTATTATCAAATTAATAAAATCTTCCTGATTTTTCATTTCTAAACAAATAGTTTTCCTTAATATTTTACTTTTTTCTATGTTCTTACTTGATTTAGGAATCATTTTTCTCGTTATATAAGATTATTATAATATTTTTTGATGATATGGATATTGTTGCATTACATTTTGATTAAGCAAGTATGACATTTTAAAATAAGGTATTGATGATTAATTTTGAAGCTGCAATTTCGATATGGTAGTTTTCTTGCAATCTAGGGTTTTCATCATTGGGTCCAAGTTGATTTTAAGTAGATGTGTATGCCCGTGAACCCTTGTTTTCTTCTTACAGAGAATCCAACATAATGACAAATTTATCCCAGTGGATTGTGGGATGTGTCAGTTGTTGAGTAATAGGAAAGGCTCTTGTCAAAAAGATAATGACTCAATTGATTATCAATATATATAGTCTCTCGGGAAAGGATCCGTTTACAAATTTTTTTTTACAAACTTACAAATTATACTATGTCTGACCAGTAATACTCTACTCTGCTCAAGAGTATATTACCGGTCAGACATAATATAGTTTGTAAACAAAAAGTTTGTAAATATAACTGTATAGTTTTACTTTTTAATTATTGTCACAACACTGTCGGTGATATAAATCTTTGTTCTCAAGATTCACTTCCTCGCTAGAACACATAGTGAGTAGTGAGTGCTACCTCAACCATGAATTCTAGGAGTTTGATTTATGTACTTGTGTGTTTCAATCTATATGTGGCTTGTACATTCTTTCAAGTCTCAAGTGGGAATGGCTCTAACTCTAACCAATGTTGGTTCCCTGCAATTTACAACTTTGGGGACTCAAACTCAGACACTGGAGCCATATCTGCAACATTCATAGGAGTGCAACCTCCTAATGGTATAAGCTTCTTTGGAAGCTTATCAGGAAGGGCTTCTGATGGCCGTCTCATCATAGATTTCATAGGTAAGTAGAACATATTATGTACTCTCCTTCACAGTTTTACAACCAATAATAACACATAGTCTAAGACCTAAGTTGAGCTTTATTTTTCATACTATGTTTATAAGATTTATAACCTTTGATATCACTCATTTTTGGTGGACATATGCAGCTGAAGAATTGAAGGTGCCATATCTAAGTGCATATTTGAACTCAATTGGATCCAATTACAGGCATGGTGCAAACTTTGCAACAGGAGGTTCATCCATTCGTCCTGGTGGTTATAGTCCATTCCATCTTGGGCTTCAAGTTAATCAGTTCATACAGTTCAAGTCCCACACCAAGATTCTCTACAATCAGCTCTCTGACAACAGTTAGTTTCTCTTACCCTCTGCATTTCCTTTCATGTTTATGCCTCTTTGTTGGTGTGCTAGAAGCATAATCATAATATATCAAAATGCTACAATTGATGGCATATTTTAGACACCCTCTTTTAAAAAAGCAGGAAATGATGTTTCATGGTGAGTGATGACAGTGAATGCTGAACCTGTGTGATAATATTCTAGGGACAGAACCACCTTTAAAAAGTGGTCTTCCAAGGTCTGAGGACTTCTCCAAGGCCCTTTACACCTTTGATATTGGACAAAATGATCTTGCCATTGGTCTTAATAAGACTTCAGAGGAACAAGTTCTAAGGTCAATTCCTGAAATCTTGAGCCAATTCTTCCAAGCAGTGCAGGTAAGCAACCACAAAAGCCTTGTTAGCATTATCAAATAACAATTTTGTAAAGAACCAATTCAATCCAAAAGCTTAAGTTGTTGGGTGAGACTACATTAATGATTTTATATATCTTAACACGCCCCCTCACACGAGAGCCCATTGGGCTTGAAGGGTGGACAATGCACAAACTCACCTACCTGTGCGAAGAAAGAAATTCCACTAGAAAGAAAGTGGGGGGCGGTGAGGATCAAACCCGGTACACCGAAGCTTTGATACCATGTAAAGAACTAATTCAACCCAAAAGCTTAAGCTGTTGGGTGAAGCTACATTAATGATTTTATATATCTTAACAAATTTGGTTCAAGAACTAAACACTTCTCATGGCTATATTTTAGCAACTATACAATGAAGGGGCAAGAGTGTTCTGGATTCACAACACAGGTCCATTTGGATGCTTGCCCTACAGTTACATTTATTATGAACCCAAGAAGGGTAACCTGGATGCAAATGGCTGTGTGAAACCTCAGAATGAGATTGCTCAGGAATTCAACAGGCAGCTCAAGGACCAAGTGTTTCAACTAAGGAGAAAGTTCCCATTAGCCAAATTTACATATGTTGATGTGTACACAGCAAAATATGAACTAGTCAGCAATGCAAGGAAACTAGGTGATCTTGTGTGGAATTCAAGGTTTTGGTTATCTTCAAATTAGCCAATACACATTTAACTTTTATGCTTGATTGGTGGCAGGTTTTCTCAGTCCATTGGAGTTCTGTTGTGGCAGTTACTATGGTTACCACATAAATTGTGGGAAGAAAGCCATAGTAAATGGAACTGTTTATGGCAATCCATGTAAAAATCCTTCTCAACATGTTAGCTGGGATGGCATACATTACTCTCAAGCAGCAAACCAATTGATTGCTAAACACATTCTCTATGGCTCATTCTCTGATCCACCAATTCCAATTGGGCAAGCATGTTTCTGAGTATAATTCAATTGATGTGTTATTAGCTAGTCACTTAGTATGAGATAGAGTATCATATATTATGTGGGTTGTCACGCTTCTATTTCAATAAACAAGCAATTTGTGGAAGATCTATTGAGTAGCTGTGCACACTGAGTAAGAGAATATCATAATTTATGTTATTGTGGGAAAAGCAAATGTAACTTACACTAAAGGCTCAAATGCTAACAAGTACTGTCTTTAAGATACTTACGAAGAATTTAAAAATAAAAGAATCAAATAATTTAAAAATATTTCTTCAGTTAATGCAGATAAGTTATCTGCATTTACTTCCAAAACGATGTCGTTTTGGGATTGAAAAATTAGAAAATTATAATTATAAAGATTATTATAACCCTGAAATAAATTAAAATTACAAAAACACTATGATTTTCGTCTAAAACGATGTCGTATTGGACTTATTACAGATAACTTATTTACAGTAACGGCAAAAAAAAAAACGAACTTATAATTTAAATAATTAAAGATGATGTGGTTAATAAAAACAGTAATTAAATTATATACATCTTTAAATATTAAATTTTGTGAGCTAAATAATTTATGGCAAGTGCAGATACCGCAACATAGTGGTAAAAGCAGATTTTTCTTGTGGAATGGGATCCAGGTAATACGCTCTCACTTTTCGTATCGTACAATATTTGATTCTGTGCAATTCATAGAAAAGTGTGTGAATATTTAAGTTTGGGTGTTTAACGTGGTAGAGTATTTTAAGCTATAAGGACAGAGCACATCATTAAGTTTGAAGTGGGAATACCTAGAATTTTTTTTTTGGATCCGGATCTTTTTACGTGAGAAAAATATGATACGATCATATAGGAAATTATAATCATACAAAAGTGGATCAATGATAATAAAGAAAAAGAAAAAAAATATTAAAATAGATAATTATGAAATTATAACCGTTAATTTACTTTTATATGGTTGTGATTTTCTTATATGACCATACCATATTTTTGAATTTATTTCCAATATTTTTAGTCAGTTGATACATAATGAGTCATCAAGTTAGTCTAAGTTGAGGTGAATGTGGGCTAATGTTGAAGTGTTTGTGTTAAGAAAGAAAGCCCAATAGGATTAAATCGATAATTGAAAAGAAAGGAGCCTGTGTTAATAAATGCACCAAGGTGGGCCAAATTCTTAGAAAGCCTCTTTATAATTGTTGTGGCCCATCTAAATTTGTTTAAGGCTTAATATTGCTTAAATATTGATATTGTTGATGTGCTGTTTGGGTATGATTGACACCGTGGGATAAATATGATTTTATTACAAATTGTACACTCATTTTCCTCTTACAGATTATCCACTGTAAGCATGAATTCAGGCAACAATGAGGGCTGTATTATGACTGAATTCAGAGTAAATAATGGTGATTGAGGAAGTCTATTTGGATATATATGTTGTGGTACAAGTGCACATTTGGCTGTATATTTGTTAAAGGAGCAATTGTGGTTGAGTTTAGTTCTGTTTTACTGTTCTTTACTTCACCTTGCTCTTTGTTATCATGAAAGCTGTGAATTAAACCTGACAATTTGGATTAATGAATGTTTTGACATGATAGATATTAGTGTGATATCTGATACTTGAAGTGCTGTTTTGATGACTCTGAAAATTTGATATTGAGTGTGTAAAATAACAAAAGACAAGAACAACATTAAGATTTAAGAGAATACAATATATAAAGAAACACTAATGAGTTTAGTCTATACCTAATCTAAATCCTAATAAAATAAGGAAATAGATATTAACAAATAAGAAAGATATTCTTTCCAACAATCTCCCTCAAACTGGAGCGCATAGATCATAAGCAACAAGCTTGAACAAGAAAGACTAAGAAACATAACATCAAAATAAATGAGTGGGGGTTGTAACAATTCTACAACTCACCCTAAAGGAAAATAACAAACATAATAAACTAAAATAAAATATTATGTATATCTCGAATACTCCTCCTCAAGATGGAGGGACACTTCATTTTAGGAAGAAAGAAAACTAAAACGAAGTTTCACGGAATATAAGTCAGAGAAATCGACAGCAAATCAACCGGAATGACCATCAGTTTGAAGAGCTAGTAAAGAGATGGTGCTGGAATGGACATTAGCAAAGGAAGAAAAAGACATCAGCCAAGGAAGGGCAGAGATAAATACAATGTTGAAACTAGAATACAAGCCGAAGGAGAGTGTAACTGGAAAAATCCGCGGTCCAGGCAACAAGATAAATGCTCCCTCTGAATGGGAAGCCAAAATAAAGCCAAACAATGACAAAAATAAATCAAATACAAGCCAAATCAGACTTAAATAACACCAAAAAGATATGTGGGAATAATATAAAATTAACCAAATACAAGCTATAAAAGAAAATCAAAATAAAAACAATAAATCAACTAACAAGTTCTAAGGTCGATTCCTGAAATCTTGAGCCAATTCTCCCAAGCAGTAAAGGTAAGCAACCACCAAAGCCATGTTGGCATTATCAGATAACAATTTGGTTCCGGAACTAATGCTTGTCATGGCTTTATTTTAGAGACTATACAATGAAGGGGCATGAGTGTTCTGGAATCACAACACAGGCCCAATTGAATGCTTGCCCTACGATTACATATATTACGAACCCAAGAAGGTAACCTGGATGCAAATGGTTGTGTGAAACCTCACAAGAAGATCGTTTAGGAATTTAACAGGCAGCTCATGGACCTAGTGAATGTGAATCATATAAGGAGAAAGCTCTCACTAGCCAAGTTTACATATGTTGATGTGTACACAGCCAAATATGAACTAGTGAGCAATGCAAGGAACCTAGGTGATCTTCAAGTCTCCAAACACACATAATTGAGTGGAATTTAATGTTTTGGTTATCTTGAAATTAGTCAACCCACACAATTATCTTGAGCATAATTCAAATAAGTGTTATTAGCTAGTCACTTAAAATGAGATAGAGCCCCATATATTATGTGGGTTGTCATGCATCTATTTAAATAAACAAGCAATTTGTGTAAGAACAATTAAGGAGCTGTGCACACCAGTAAGAAAAAGAATGTCATATTTATGTTCTTGTGGGATAAGCAAATGTAACTTCAATTTGGTAATGTCAGGGCACACCAAAAAGGCTCAAACTACCAGAAAATATCTAATCTTTAAGGGATTCGAAGACAAGAATTAATAGTACAGTCAACTTAAATAATAAGATTCTAGTTAAGTTCTCTTATAAGCTGCAGACTTGAATTTTATATATATATACTCTTTGCAGTCTGCAGTGTCATATTCATGCTTGTCACGTTCATAAGATCCTTTGACTATAACAATGAAACTTACAAAATATATGGTTGCAGTGGTTAGAAGCAACTGAATTTTCTAATAGGCCGTCTGGTGTACCAGCAAAGAAAATTAAGTTTCAACATCCATTTGATAACATAAGAAAATTGAGTTTCCACCTTTTATAAATTCAATTATACAAAGAAGAATATGAATAACAGAAATTTCCTATACCCCTATAGAAAATAGACATACAAAGTAACTTCTTGTGAACATTAACAATTGGAAGTGGAAACTATTTCCACTTTGTTATTGATTTTAGGCCAAATTTGCAAACAATGATCAAAATAAGCAAACCGGCTAATCTCATTGTGTTTTATATACAGCCCCGGCTTCATAGGACCTTAATGCCATTGTCTTTTATAAGCTGAGGGTTTGAATCAAGGAGATTTTCCAGTGATATTCTTGATTTCCTGTTCCTAGCCCTGCCTGCTTCCTTCAACAATTCTGCCAACCTTCGCTTCTCATCATCCACATCAGGATTTGCTGTTCCAAGCTTCTCTTCTCTCATTCCAACTACATATTCCAAAATTTCGATGGCATCATCCACTCTGCAAATCATTACAAATAACAAGAAGTATTAACAGTTAAAGCCTGAAAATTCTGATTATTTTCTTATGCTGCATGAAGTTGTAAACAAAATGGATGAAGAAAGTAAAGTAGTAGTGACAAATACCATAATACTCTTAAGAGTAAATACCCTTTTCGGTCCCCAGCAAATTTTACGATGCCCGCTTTAGTCCTTATAAAATAAAAAGGCTATTCGTGATCCCTAAGAAATTCAAAGTGAACCCATTTTAGTTATTTTAAGGGACTAATGTGGGTCTTTTTTGAATTTGTGAGGGACCACGATTTCAACTAAATGGGTCAATTTTAAATTTCTTAGGGACGACGAATAGCGTTTTTATTTGCTAGGGACTAAAACGGGATCGTGAAATTTGCTGAGGACCAAAAAAGGTATTTACTCTGCTCTTAAGGATTAAAAAGAGAGTTAGGAGACAATGAACATATTTACCTTCCCATTGCATCGTAGGTGCCTGCTAGATTGCTATAGACCCCTAATGTGTCAGGGTGATATGGACCATACTCTTTTTCCAATATAGTCTTGGCCTCTTCAAACAAATCTGCAGCCTCATTTATAGCATAACGCTGCACGCAGGCAAGACCCATTTGGTTCAATGCAATCCCAAACAAAGCAGATTTCTTTTCTCCACTGGCACGAAACTTGGCAATAGCACTTTTGAAGATGTTGTAAGAATCAGAATAGTTCCCTAGCATATAACACATGACCCCCATTTGGGCCTCAATTCCTGCAATAGTACTTTGTTGACCAGGAGCATTGCCAAATATCTTCAAGGCCTTTTTGAGTAACTTCAATCCCTTCTCCAAATCATTCATGGATTGATAGATGGCAGCAATATCTATTAGACCACTAGCAACCTCTTCCAAAGGGATCCCGGGGTTGATCTTCCCAAAAATTCTCAGTGCATTTTCACAGTAAGATTTTGATTCCTTGAATTTCCCTATTTTGTTGTACAAATCAGCTAACCGGACATAGACTGAAGCAACCAATGGATGATTCTCTCCTTTGGTTGATTTGAAGACAGTGAGTGCTTTCTGATAAGAAAAAACTGCCTCATCATAGCGTGCCAGTGAAAGATAGGCATCACCTATGCTGCAATCAACCGAAGCTACATCAACTTCTTGGCCATTTGCTGCCATGGCCATGCCTGCTAAAACATAATGCTCTAGAGCAGCTTCATAATCACCCTTTGAGTCACAGATAAGCCCCATTAGTCTCCTATCTGCTGCTTCTTCAATGGAAGCAGGAGACCGATTTTCCTTGTGAATATCAAGAGCCATCTTACACAGCTTCTCAGCCTCATCAAACTGCAGTGCCTGAACATGAGCCTCAGCCACATAGCGACATGTCTCACCAAATCTTGGGTCTGTTTCCCCCAAGGCTTGCCCTTGAATTTCAAGACCTGCTGTATAAAACAGTATAGAATTCTCTATCTGCCCTATCATTGCATAAGTATCCCCCAATTGCATGCACCCTGCAAACTTAGCTAGTGCATGATCTTGTCCATCCTCTAAGACAGGAATATCAATGGAACGCTCAAGAATGGGAATGGCCTCATTATACTGTCCTAAATTACAGTATAATGTTGCCAAAACATGCAGACACATGACCAATTCTAAATTGGGTTTCCCATTTGCACACATCTCAAATGATTTCAAAGCTCTAAGAGCCAATTCAAGAGCTTTATGGGAATTCTCACCTGAAGAGATCATATCTCTTGTTTGCTTGAGTAAAAATGGTCCAAGATCTGGGTTATCTAACCCAGCAGCAGCAATACGCTCCTCAATTCCTTTCAAACCAAGGTTCCTATGCTTCCTCATGTTGTAAACACCATTTGCTTTTCTAGCACCCTTCTCACCCCTCTTGTAATTAGGTGGCCTCTCACGCAAATTTTTGCTTTTGGGAGGATTTGACTTGGTTGATCCTTCAAATTGGTTATTATCCTTCTTTGTATGTTCCTTTCCACATGACACAACATCTTTCTCAGGTGTTGAACCATTGAAATCCTCTTTATTCTCAGTAACCACCTCCTTTGTAATCTCTACAATATCTCCAACAAGATAGCACAACTCTGAATCAATCCTTGACTCTTCACCATATGAGTAAAAACTAGCCCTGGAGGGTGACTGATCAGAACTCCTCATTTCACACACATTGTGATACAATTGCTCAATAGAGGTATCCACCACACCATCAATAGCCAAATCAATTGAGTCACTCTGAATACTTCTTGGACTCAGAGTACTCCTTGGAGATGCTTGCTGAGTAAAATTTTCCTTATGGGGTGTATAACTCCCACTAGGTTCCCCTATTGAACTATTCATATTCAACTCGTCCATAGCTAAACCAGGCATTGAACAGTATAATCAGCAACTCACCTAAAATTAACAACAAAAATTCAAAAAAAAAAAAAAAAAAAGTTTTAAATTTCTTCAAAATATGAAAACAAGAACCAATCTCTGCAGAAGAATTCGGATTACACTATACATTAAAGTTTGGGGTCTCAATCACAAAATCAAGATCAAATTTTCACTTCAAAGTGACACAGGCCAAAAAACCATTGATGACTTCACTGGTGTCACTAAAATTTCAAGCAAAGATAAAATATTATGTAAGAAGAAACAGAAAAGAAACAAAAAGTAAAAGAGAAATGAATCAAACTTTAGAAAACCATCACAGCAACAAAAAAAAAAAAGAAGAAGCCAAAAGCAACTAAAAATATTCCATTCAGTTGATTGCGTGACATTGCTTCTTCCCAGATGCTCCATCCTATGTACATCACATGACAACACAACACAACACAAAAGAGTTTATGAAGTTCCATCTTTGTCGGTGATCAAACTCAGGACAACATAAAAGCAACATCAAACAAGAACAGCAATCAAGAAACATGTTGATGGAAATACAATACCAGAAAGCAATAAAAAATGCATCACCTCATTGAGAACAGACACAACATGGTGTGGCTTAATACATTAAAGACAGGAACTGAAACCAAAGTAAAACATAACATAAGAGAGACAATGAATGAGGTGTTACCTTTAGTACTCTCCGAAGAATAAAAGCCAAAACTTTCAAAGGTTGTTTTGTATGGGTGTTATGTACAGATGAAGAGATATGGGTCAATATAGCTGTATAATTTGTACTGGTATGCATTTATATATATGTACATGTGGGGTGTTGAAGAAGACTTGTGGCAGGTAATGGAATTTTGGGAAAATGGAGAGGGCAAAATGGGAACTTTAAATGGAATGATTGAGATTTTCTAGATAAATAAATATGCATGTGTAAGAGTTGTACTTGTAGCAAAGTGTTGGAATGTTGAAGCAAAACCAGGAAGGTGACCTCTCTCCCACTCTTTTCCTTTCCTCTTCAACTTCAACTGCTTTTTTATATTGAAATTTGTTTTCTTAATTAGTAGATTATTATTATTATTATTATTTTTTTTTAGTAAATATCAACCGGTGCCCAAAATCCTAATGGATCCAACTAATTCTATTTTGGGTTTGTGTCTTTTTATCTTAAAAAAATTGCAATTCTTATAATTCGAATCCACTATCTTTCGAACAGGTCAATTTGTGAGATTTTATCAGATATTTTCAATAGTTTTTAGGGGACGTTTGGTACGCGGTATTCTTCAGGATTCCCGAGAAATTTGAATTTTTCTAAATTTTTAATTTTCGAATATTATTATAAATTGAATTTAAAAATCATATTTCTGAAAATCAAAATTTTCGAATAAAAAATAATTTCTCCTCTGCCATGTTACCAAGATTTTCATGTGTTTTTGGTATATACATTCTTATTTTATTAACTTTGAATTACTTATTAGTTATTGATTAGCAGCTTTCCAAGCCAAATCATAAGCAATAAAAAAATCATAGTTCCTCAGGCCACAATTGATTATGACAAGGTCTGGCATAGTTAACAAGAAAGTCAACTGTTTTATTGATTATATTTTGTGAACTCCAAGTATTTTTTTTTTTTAAAAAGTAACAACTAAATATTTGATAACTTACATCTCAAGAAAAAAATATTATTATTGGGTCAGAATTACAAATATATTAATGAAAATGTTAGAAAGTTAATTTTTTATTTTGAATTATTTAGTTCATTACTTTACTTTTCATGGGTGTTCGAACTATTTTATATTTTTTTAACTGAATTTTGCACACAAAAAATAACTTTTTATTTTCATGAGTAGCCCTTCCTATAATATGGTAAGAGTAAATTACTATCTTCACCCAGAATGAAAATTCTTATTCGTGTCTCATTATCATTCAAGACTATTATGTTTTAAAATATATATATATATATATATATATATATATATATATATATATATATATATATATATAGAGGCAGGATCTTTTGACACCGGTGTCAAATTTAAAGTTTGACACCTCATCTAAGAACCGTTAGATCAAAAAATATCAACGACTTTGATTTGTGAGCATGTGACACCATTGATCTTTTTTGATCTAATGGCTCTTAGATGAAGTGTCAAACTTCAAATTTGACACCGGTGTCAAAGGATCCTATCTCATATATATATATATATATATATATATATATATATATATATGGATAAGATCAACTTACACCGGTGTAAGAATAATAAGTCTTACACCAAATCTTAACTGTTGATTTTCGTGCATCTAATGGTTGAAATTTATTGGAAATTAAAAATTATTTAATGAGTGAGACATAATAAATCTTAACCGTTAGATGCAGAAAATCAATTGTTAAGATTGAGTGTAAGACTTCTAACTCTTACACTGGTGTAAGAATATTCTGTCCCATATATATATATATATATATATATATATATATATATATATAAATTTTGAGAATATTATTTTTTGGGTACAAATATTTTGTTATATTTTTCATAAATTTTGATGGATATTAAGTTGAAGAGGACTTGCAGTTGAGATGTAAGAAGCATAGGGTGGCGGGATTAACGGCTTTTCGACGCGAAAAGACTAGCGACATGTTAAGGTGACCGTGCGGTTTTCTGTCAGAGGGTGAAAGTTCGAATAGAAAGTTACCACGTGGCAAGAGTTGAAGATACAGCGAATGCAATGATTGGTTATACACGTGGACCACATCCAGCTGCATTGAAGCTGGTAAGTGGTGACTGGTTAGCAGCGGTGATGGACCCTTCGCACCAAGCCGCCGAAGGTGGGCCGGCCCGGGCCCACTTTCCAAAAGTTATATATATTCCCTTAACTATATGATTTTTTATTAGATTCGCTTTTTTTGGAATTACTGCATATAAATTATCTGCAGTAAGTTCAATATGACATTATTTTGGGAGAAAAATTATGGTATTTTTTTAATTTTAATTTATTTCAGAATTATAATAGTCTTTATATTTATAATTTTTTAAGATTTCAATACCAAAAGAAGTCATTTTTGAGAATAAATGCAGATAACTTATCTGTAATAACTGCAGAAACATTTTTCCCTTCTTTATTTGCAAATGATGAAAAGGAAAAAATATTATTGGGAAATTTTTTGGAGAAGATAAACCAAGTCAAAAGATTGAATTTGATTGACAGATGGAAATGACGATATTTTTAATTATTAGTTTGCACAGTCTTCAATTTTTTAAATATTTGTTATTTATTAAATGAAATTTGTTATTAATTTAATTAATAACTTGAGTTTACTATCTATAAGTAAAATTAATATAAGGTTTTATTCAATAATAAAAACATTAACTAATATATTATTAGAAAAGGGATTTTTTAATTCCTATATGATTAAGAAGTCTTACTTTTCATCTTAATTTTTTATTTTCATCGATCTAACGATTATAATTTATTGAGTTATATTAATCAATTAATTATTAATTCAAATAAATTATAATCGTTACATGAATATAAATCAATGATGGGAAATAAGACTTCTAAATTTTACACTCAAATCAAAAAAAATCCCTCCACATGTTATTAGCATTTCCCTTTGTTCGTTTAAGCGAAAAGAATTACTGAGATTAGAATTTATCAGGTATAAAGTTGTTAGTTTTGGAAGAGTCGTTTTTATAAGTTTGACAATATCGGAATCAGATTAATTAGATAATCGATGATAATATATCCAAAAAAAACTGTTAGTTTTGTATATGATTAATGAAAGAAAAAAAATCCCTGCATAAATTTAGAGATTCATGTATATAAATACGAGACAGAATCTCTTGACTTAAGTGTAAGATTAAGAAATTTTACTTCTTATTTCAATAGTTATAGTTTATTTAAAATTAAAAATTAATTAATAGATATAATTTAATAAATCACTATCATTGGATAAGAAATAAATGGAAATTAACAGTTTAAATGAGGAATATAATTTCTTAATCTTATACTAGAATCAAAAATCCTCCCTCAATAAATATATGAGTTTTTAAAATTTGAAAAATTAATTTAGCGTTTAAAATGCATTGTTTTTTATACTGCTATCAACAAATTATCATTTATTACGTGAATTGTTTTAAAGGATACAATCCGTAGTCCAAACCATTCAATTTAAGCAATCAAGTGAATTTGTGGATGGGGTTTCACTTCTTTAAAAGTGAAAGATGTTTTAGTGAAAAAGAAAAGGCAAGAAGTTATAATTATAAATAAAAAATTGTGTAAATATAAATACTTTTATGTGTTAGACGATTCAAAATGCTTTCAAAAATAAAAAATGTGAATTTTAATTTCTTTTTTTAAATATAAATACTTTTTATACATTATTAAATATGTTAATTTTGTAGTTGTGGTTGGAAAGATTTTCCAATTTTTCTTTTTATCTGAATCACGTACTCAAAAAGTCGAATTGACTTTAACTACAAAAATAAGCCCGCACTACAAGCAAAGGTGCTTCTGTGAATTGTGACATTGAGAGTTGATATGCGACCAGCAATCATGTTTACTGTGCAATAACAGGGCGGTTTCGCGAGGACGAATGTTTCAGGAACATCAACCAAAGTGTTATTTTTTCACAAATTTTTTATTCAAATATCACGTGAATATTATTTTTTACTAAACTGTCATATGTTGAAGTAACAAATTTGATTGTTTATGATTTCGTGACATGTTGACATATTGTGTATCAACTTTGCTACCACTAATAACAAACTTAGTCTAATTAACTTTTTTCCTGCAAAAATATATCACGTGTAATAAAATCATTGACGAACCAAGTTTGCTATTAATGATAGCAAATTACGTCGCGTAATAATATAATAAAAAGTATTGTTTATATAGTATTTGGATAAAAAATTTGTTAAAAAATAATATTTTTATCAATATTCCAGTGTTTTACCTCTCAAATGGATAAAGAAATAGCAAATACATTACACAATATAATATTAAAATTA